GCTTAAAGACCTCAACCAATCAAAAACTGGGCAAGGCTGCGAAACCTACCGTGAATAAGTATTTACGTACTTAAATCGAGGATACCATAAAAATTTAATAAACTGTATGCTAGGTAAACGCATTGATGCCTGTACGCGTGTAAAATTGCATATGCAAAAATCGTTAGCTGTCCATTTTTCAGCTCAACCCTACTCACTGTCAAGCTGTCGCATCGACTGAATGTACTATATCCACAATAGCATACCAATCTAATCGCTTTCCCTATTTTTTGACTATGCGGAAATAACTAACAAGCAAACGTCCGATAAAAAGTTTCGATTTGAAGGAAAATCGGCGCTGAAAGAGAATGCAAAAGAAAAGCCTGGAAATGCGAAAAGATTGCGGCAGACGAAAACAAATACTGGATGACAGAGAGAGCAGTAGCAAAGTCAACACTTTTTTTGTATGTAGCCTTTATATAGCAAACGTAAGGATAATACGCATATGTACATATGTATGTGCATGCCTACACTTCACGTATGTACACTTCATATACATATGTATGTATATGTAGGTACGTATGGCTTGCTTTTTATTTCCTACTTCCTGACAGTTGGCATTTGACGGCGCTGAAAGGCGATGCTGTCTTTGCGTGCACACAAGCTGATGTTAAATGCGTCGAAAATTTCCTTATCATTTATGATTGCATATGTGTTGATATAAGAAGATTTATTTACATATGTATGTATGTATATATGATATACTCAGAATTGGCAACGTACGAGTGGGTGCGTATGAGTAATTTTCTACATTTTTTTCGTTTAAAATGCGACTATGCCTCTCCGTTTTATGTGCTGATCGGCTTATGTCCTGGCATTTATTTTATATTAAAAGCATAAATTTGTATACATGTGTACATATATACATATATATGAGTGTGTGTGTGTGCATGTGTTTATGTGCCCATTTCATATTTGGCATTTTCGTTACCCTATCCCATCGTAAGCATCACTTATCGTCATCATTCACCGTTTACAGCAAATTTGGGCAGCAATATTCACATGAGCACACTGCTACATACATAATTTATAGCAAATTTCCATACATATGTATCTATCTATACACTAAAATTACCACTACTCAAAATTTACGCATTTAGTCGAAACTCTGTGCTACTTGAGCGTCTCGGTCGTTTCAACAACCCTCCACTGTCCATCGCCATTGCGAAATGTTCAACACAAATCACTGCCTTCCTGTTCTCACTTGACTCGGCTGTCGTCATCACTGTCAGCTCGTATATCCTATTACTCGACATCCATCTATGGATGAGTGCAGCAGCTCATAAGCGACAGGCCTAAAAACGCGAGCACCTCAACCCATCGCCAAGTGTCAAATTGTCGAGCGTCGTTTAGTTGATATTTTATCATTTTTAAGGATACACGCCTTTACTTGGTTACTTCGTCATTAACACCCGCACATATTCACACACACACACACACACAAATGCTTAATTTTGATAAGCTAGAAAATAGCAGCTAAGTAGTTATTCTGCGCTAACAAATCACAATGGCAAATCGGTTTCGGCATCAGCTTACTGTCGGCTAGTACTCTGCGTGCAGTTCAGTGTGTTCATAATCTTTCTTCGTCCTTTATGTGCTTTTTTGAGATTTTGTGAATCCTACTACAATTTGCCGTAATCTGTTAAAAGTTTCAGTTTTCTCAAATTTTCCATACAGCATTATAAGTCTTTTTGTATGTATAGTTATGTGCTTAAACAAATTAGCCCATATTTTTCAATTTGTTACACATCTATATGAGCACTTAGCCGACTGTTATGGAGGCTAGCGAAAGCAATGAAATATGCATAGCTAAAATTTAATTTTTATGTAAGCCCGCGAGCACTTGTGCAAAAGGTCTATTATAGTGTGGTCGTATAGACATAAGTATGCCAAAATGCTCAATAGCAAAAGTGGCGTTAATAAACTACCATGCTACTGTTGCTTAATATTTCTTGAGGTGCCGGTTCCCCTTCTACATTAACTTAACTTTTTTCTGCCTGTGTGGTACTACAACATAAATCTCTATAAAACATTCAGTGTCCTACCTCAAACACTTCCACAGATTTGTTGTATAAAAATTACACTTTTATGGATTCGACCACGGAACCTTTTTCAATAATTCTGACTTTTCTCCATAACTATACTTTCAGAGATATGCAGTATGAAAGTTTAAGCATAACCATATTGGAGGTGCCACGCCTCGTTTTCTAATAGCTCCCACATTCTCCTTGCGTAACGGATATACATTTTATATCTCCATACAAAGTTTCAGTATTCCACAATAAATAATTCCAAAGATATGAAATAAGAAAATTTCAGTTTTATAGAAGTATGGAATTTGTTCTATATATATATACATATATACATCACGATGTCAAGTTCCAATAATCGTTCCATTTTTATTTTTTGTTTTTTTAATATCAACACATCTTAATTCACGTTGGAATGATGCTTGTCCATCTTAGCATTCTCCTTCGTATTGTAAATAAGTTTATTTCTAAAATGTATACATACTCTGCAACATCCTCTGCAACAACGACACAACTCAACATTGAAAGAAAAGCGCAAAACCCTTGCTACTCTTAAGTGGCTCATGTCTCTAATCCTTTTCTAATCAATGTCTTATCCCTACTTAAATAAATAGTAAAGATTGCTCAAGTAAGACTACGGTTGCCAGACGTACTGATTTTATCAGTACAGTACTGATTTTTCCACTCTAGTACTGATTTTATTCATTTCTTCAATCCGTACGCTAATGTCCTGATTTTTCAAAATTTGTACTGATTTCTACTGAATTTTCAATGCAAACAAAATACTTTAGGATTTTCTTAAGGTTTTCACATAACGTTGGAACTTCCTTGAACTGTACTGTACAAAATAAGAAGAAAATAATTTAATTATAGTTCACATGTTTCAGAGAATAGTTCTTTGTTTGCTCATTTCCAGTAAAATCCCATACAAGTTTTTGCGAATTTTCATATTTTGACGTTTTCGTACGCAAAAACTTGTAAAGTAGTAGGGGAAATTGAGAGAGCAAAAGTGACAGCTGAAGTTGCAAGTTTTTACTGGATTTTTACTGGAAAAATGTTGACTTGTATGAATTTGCCAGTACGGAAAACAGCTGATCGCATAGTGCTGGATGCAATCTAAACTAATAAGGAAACTGTTTATGGGTTTTTATTGTTAAAATTTTCAAAATAAACCAATATTAATATAAAATATATTGTTTTACTGGTAATTTGCTGCTAATAAATAAGAAATTTATCAGCTGTTCATTAAACTTGCAAATTATTATTGGATTTGCGTTCGCGTACTTTTTTGGATATTTTTTCCATGAGAGCGAATTCTCTGAATTAAGTTACCGGAGAGTTGCTGGCAAGTTACTGGATAATTGATAACAACTAAGGTTGAATATGCCCAAGAAATTAATACACCAAAAAGATCAATCGTTTTACGGGCATATCGCCGGGTCGTTGCGATAATATGATGGAGCTTAAATTATTCAAAAAGAAGGCTGACGTTTTTTTTTTATCGTGTGTTGTTAGATATCTCGAAATTAAATTTCACTGACATTATAAAAGAGTTTTGCATACGAGGCATAGATTTAGATACTCTTTTCAGCGAATTCTTAGTCTTACAAAGTTTTTGCGTAGTTGAAAAAATTAATTTAAGCCATGAGAAAATATAGATGAAGTCCTTAAATACTGGTACTTTTCCAAAGTTTGAAAAAATATGTAATTTAATTTTTTCCAATACCACACTCAAACGAAGCAATAGGATCTTAAGTATATAGTTATTTCCTTACGCAAAGAGAGAACTCGGCTTCTAATTAAAAATTTTTTAAAGTGAGCTTCAATTTAAAATTAATTTTAAAATGAAATGTATAGAATTCTTTGAATATTTAAACACTGAAGATTCAAATGATCTCATTATTGCTATTCAAAAATGTCAGAAGTATAAAATAATGTAATGGCTTCTGCGTAAAATGATGTGTATACTCGTGTTTAAATGAATAATACCTTTATATTTTATTTATATACCAAAATATTGTTAAAAACAAATACTCTGGCGATTTAAAGTATTACTTACACTTACATTACACTTACTGTTACTTACATTCATAATTTTGCATTGAATAAAAATGTACTGAAAAGTACTGATTTTTTTTTTAGCATGAAAAAGTCT